CAGGATAGTTGCAGTAGCTCTAAGCTTCATATTTTCATGCTACCACAGCTGTAGAAAAGAGAACACTCTAGAGAAAAGAGCACTTGACATTTTTAGAAACTTCATTGAAAGACTCATTGTTTCTCGTTGATGCTAATTGAGTTTTGTGCCCATCCTTGAACCAAATGCCATACCCAGAAGGATGGGACGTATTTGTTTGGTTTTGCCCAGTTGGGGCTCACCCCTGAAGCCTGTGAGTGGGGAGAGGGAAACACTGCTGGACATAGGTCGGCACTGATACTAATTTTTCCAGCAGTGACTAGAGTCTGTATATGCTACCTGACCATCAGTCATTTACTAGCTATTTTGGTTATCAGACCAACTGTCGCAGTACTTGTATTCGAGTGACCTTTATTGTACTTAATAGTGACCCCAAAGCCATTCACATAACTTTTATTACAGCATATTATAGTTGTTCTGTTTCATTATTATTGTTAATCTCTTATGCTGCCTAATTTATAAATTAAACTTTATTATAGTTATGTATGTATAGGAAAAAACATACTACTGTATATATAGGGTTCAATACTATCCACGGTTTCAGGCATCCACTAAGGGTCTTGGACTGTATCGCCTGTGGATAAGGGGGAACTACTGTACTCAGTACTGTAATGTCAGTTCTCTCAAAATTCAGATTCAGATTTAAAGCAATCCCAATAAAAATGATTTTAGTGTATAAATGATAGACTGACTCTAGAAGAAAGCATGTGAAATGGCACATTTTATAAAAAAACAAAATTGAAAGACTTCCATGACCTGATTTTAAGGTTTACTGTAAAGCTACAGTAACGAGGACAGTACGATGTTAGCATAAGGACAGACATAGCGATCAGTGGAAGTGAATAGAAATAGTACTGCGCATACATGGTTGATTGATTTTCAACAGTCGAGGTGAGGTAATTCAGTGGGGAAAGGCTAGTCTTTCCAATAGGTTGTGCTGGATTCACTACACAATTGTGTAGAAAAAATAATGAACCTTGGCTCTTCAACATTGTGCACAAAAATTAACTTGAGCCCTGGCTGGTGTAGCTCAGTGGATTGAGTGCCGGCCTGTAAACCAAAAGGTTACCATTTGATTCCCAGTCAGGGCATATGCCTGGGTTGTGGACCAGGTTCCCAGCTGGGAGTGTGTGAGAGGCAACCAGTCAATGTCTCTCTTACACATTGATGTTTCTTTCTCATTCTTTCTCCTTCCCTGCCCCCTCTCTAAATATAAATAAAATCTTTTAAAAATGCTTTAAAAATGAACTTTTAATGGATCATAGATCTAAATATAAAAACTAAAAGTACAGAAGTATCAATATCAGTGGAAAGCGTTTGAGAAAAATCTTTGTGACTTTGAAGTAAGCAAAGAGTTTTTAGAATACAAAAGCATAAATCATAAAAGAAAAAATTGATAAATTAGACTTTATGAAAATTAAACATTTCTGCTTTCTAAAAGGCAAAGAAAATGGCCGTGGCTGGTGTGGCTCAGTAGATTGAGCGCTGGCCTGTGAACTGAAAGGGTGCCAGTTCTATTCCTAGTCAGGACACATGCCTGTGTTGCAGGCCAGGTCCCCAGTTGGTGGTGTTTGAGAGGCAACTGAATGGTTTGATGTTTCTCTCCCTCTCTTCCTCCCTCCTTTCCCCTCTCTCTAAAAATAGATAAAATCTTTAAAAAAAGACAAAATGAAAAAGCAAGCCATAAGACTTGGAGATATATGTGATATATGTATATATGGATGTATTCAGAATATGTAAATAATTCATACAGTCAGTAAAGCGAAAGCAAATTAGGCATCAGGGAAATTAAAATTCAGGCTACAGTTCAACATCCTACACACCCATCAAAATGACTAAAATTAAAAGACAGACAATGTCAAATGTTGACAAGGATGCTAGAGCAACTAGAACTCATACATAAGCTGCCAGAATTGTGAGGTGGTATACTCTGGAGATCGGGTAGTAGTTTAATTTTTCTTACTATGTTAGATTGTTGCATCAGTAATATGCAGAATTCATAAATTAAATTTTTAGTTCTTAATGTCCTACAAAAGCTTTTGTAGGAGTTATATTTAAAATTAAAGTAGAATTTATGTTATGAAACTTAACAGTGGTAGCCCTTTGAGAACTGAATTTTATCTCTTTTCTTGGTCTGTTTGTTAGGAATTTCTGTTTTTTTCTTTCATAAGTCAAAATATTATACATATTCATTTATTAGAAAGTAGTCAGTTCTACTCATTTTTAAAAAATTTATTTGGCCAATATGACTATAGTTGGCTTTTTATAGTTTTCTTAATTTCCTCTGTATCTGTTTGTGGATGCACTGTCATTTCTTATTTTGTATTTTTTATATTCCTATGAGTACTTTAAAAAAATTGGTTAGTGGTAGATTCTAGGCCTTTTCATAGAATTAATCTTCAATTTATTATTTGGACAGTTTTCTTCATTTCTAATTCATTAATTTCTGCCTTTAGCTTTTCCGGTTCATCTGCTTTGTTGTTCAAGTTTATCATTCTTTTTCTTTCTTCTTAGTAGAGTGTTGTGAATTCAGTTATTTTCATTTGTTCTTGTTAGGTAGTATAAAATTTTCAAATTATGAGTTTTTCTCAGAATTGCTCTAATTGATTTCTTTGTTCTCACAATAAATTTTATCAGTGTCTTATGTATTCTGCAGTGTCATATTTTATTTATTCTTTGACCCAAGGGTAGTTTAAGCCCTTCTAATTTTTCCACTTGAAATCTTGGGTTGTCTAGGTGAATAATCCTAGTGATAGCCAGTATGTCAGCGTTGTCTGTCTCTACCTTGGGCTTTTAGCTGATGGCACAAACCTATAACTGTCAGTAAACTTTGCAATAAGAACAAAAGATGGTACTCTTAAGGATTTATAATAAGCATAAATATTTTGGACAAAATACTAAAATAGAAAACTGTATATTTAGGTGATTTTGCAAGTGATTATGCAAGGTATATGGGTGATTAAATGGTTTGATAAAGTTTTTGTTGTCTGACTAAAAGCTGAGGACAAGGAAAGTAGAAGGAGAACATGTCTGTGATAACCCAGAACAGACGTTCTAGTTAACATCAACGTGAAGAGAGCGGAGGTGGGGGCAGACCAAGGAATTTAGCAGAGTGTGGTAGAGTATTTGTCTGGTTAGTGGGAAGATATACTTCTTGATAAGTTGAAGACATTGTTAGGAGCGCACAGACAAGAAAATGTGATGTAAGTGAAGACAACTATTATAAGAACAAATTTGTATAGCTTTATTTGTTTTACTAGATCAAACAATATTTTTTTCAAATGCAAGCCTATTACATGTTTGAGATATTCAGATATACTTTATTAAATTTTTTTGTTCTATTACACTTGTATAGCTTTAAAACTTTAAATGAGAAAACACTATTTACCTGGTAGGGAAAAGAATGGAAGGAGAAAGGAAAGAATAATAACTTAAGTACTGTCAAATGCTGACTCCTAAAATATCACCAAGAGAACTTGTTGATAAGACAAAACTGTGTCTTTGTTTAATGCTTACTTTGGGAAGGTAGATCACTACCTCACCAGAGCAGTAACCCGTCAGATGAAGAAGGAAAAAGTTGAGGTATTTATTGAGATTTAAAATTGGTTTAAGATGGGCCTTTTAATTGGAGGATGCTTGCTTATAATTAGTTAAGGCTTGTGACACAATAACTTAGCATTCGTAAACAGAATATTTAGAGGCTGAGGTCAGAGTTTTGGGATGTAAGCCATCATTTGATACTTTCTTTTGATGCATTCATGAGTCTTTCAGGAAGCTTCTGGAATGAACAGTAAAATTATTTTGCAGCTTTTATCATTCTGAGCAAGAGACTCCTGGAGCAGTAGACTCTTAAGATAGTATAATAATAAAGTCATTTTAATGTAGATAGTAAGCTGCGTGACCAGTTTTCATTTTCAGAAGATAGAAATAATAATTCCATTCCCGAGGTTGGGGAGGACCCATCTGCTCTCCATTGTTTACCTTTTTACTATGCTACTAGGTTTGTTTGCTAATATTTTATTCAGAAGTTGTGCACTTACATTCATTGGTAAAATAGGCCTATTTTCTTGTCGTGTGTTACAGTATCTAGTTTTGGTATTAGTTAGCTTTTTTTAAAAATACTCACCTGAGGGCATTTTTCCCCCACTGCTTTTAGAGAGGGAGGAGGAGGGAGAAAGAGAAACATGGATGTGAGAGAGAAACATCAATTGCTTGCCTCTCATTCCCCCAGCCAGGGGTCGAACCTGCAACCTGGTTCCGTGCCCTAACTGGGAATCAAACCTGTGACTTTTCTGTCTACAGAAAGGTGCTCCAACCAACTCAACCACACTGGCAGGGCAGCTAGCTTTTTTTGAATTAGTTCCTCCCTTGTGGAAACACTTTTTTTAAGATCAGGATTATCTCTTTCTTGAAGGTGGGTAGATCTAATTATTTTGATTTTCTCTACTCACATTTTATTTTATGGTTTCCTTTTTCACTATGATCAACCTGCTTTTTGATTACCAAGGATTATTTTTGTTCCACGGTTATCTAGCCATGTCGTACTTGTGTTGTTATTTTTAAGTATGTATTTTGCCTTTTCTACAAATATGAACCAGAAGAGCATCCTTGTCTTATGTCTTAGCTTATCATCTTGAATTCTCCTCCCCATTTCTTGAACTAATCTTCCTCTTTTTAAAAAAATCTCACTTAATTAAGTAGATAGATCTTACATTATGACCAGAAAGAAAAGGACAATTATAATTGTAGTTTTACTTTATCCTATTAGTTGTCAGTGTGCCATTTTTAAGGAAATACATTAAACAATGTATATTATCTGTTTTTATGGAAAAATGAACCATGTGGATATTCTTTTTGCTCCTTATATTCCTGTTATGATTTGCCTTTTATATGTAAAATATTATAATAGATCTTATGTGAAGGGTAGCATTTTAATGACAGTTTTTCCCCTCTAAATATAGGAAGTTCACAAATGGGTGCTACCATAGTAGATGCTTTGGATACCCTTTATATCATGGGACTCCATGATGAATTCCGAGACGGGCAAAAGTGGATTGAAGACAACCTTGATTTCAGTGTGGTGAGTATACATTTGATAATTTCTCTGATTGACCATGAAAGGACACAGTGTCCAACCATAAGAATTTTGAGCATTATGCTAGCAGTTCGAGGATATTCTAAGTCCCCCTTTTTCTTTTGGGATTATCAGTTATTTAATTTTTGTATAAAGTACACACTCTCACCATCTTTCTTCTACTTTTCTTGCCCTTCTTTGAGGCAGTGTGTTAGGGCAGTAGTTAGGGGAGAACACAGTGGACTAGAAACGTGAGGAAAGCATAAGCTGTGAATAATAAATGTTTTGTTATTATTTTTAAAGATTTAATTATTCAGTAAAGCTTTGATGAACCTTCCTGATTAGCCCTAGGCCTAGCTTAGTATTTCGGCACAGGTGTTAAGTGCTGTTGCTTAGGTTTGTAGCCCAGCACAGCTACATTCCAGCTGTGTGACTTTGAAAGTTTCTCATTCTTTCTAAACCTATCATAAAATTTTACTATCTTTGTGCAAAATTGTGAGGATTATTTGAGATAATCTGACATGTAAAGTGTACATTAAATGGTAGCAATTATTTTCATTATTACCAGTCTTCATCTAAAGATGTGCGGACTGTTTCATGTCTTCATTACCACCTCTCACGATACTTGTGCTTGCTGATCGTCCGACTGCAGTCAGAAGTCTCTCCTTTTCTGTGTGTGTTTCTCTCTGGCAGATTCTGCATTGTTTCAGTTGTGATTTAAATCCATAATTATTTCTTCTCTGATGTTTTTCCTGGTGCTAACTAGATAAAACTGATTGCTTTCTTTTATATTGTTCAAGCATTTTGGATATATCTCAATTAGAACAATTTTTATTTTCAGATAGGTATAGGTTTGGCTGTGAGTGGCAGAAGTCCCAATATAAAATAGCTTAAACAAGATAGATGTTTACTTCACTTTCATTCAAATTAAGCACAGAGATAAACTGTTTGGGGCTGATTTGGGTCACCAAGGGCCTAGGTCTTGCTGCTCTGTCGACTTCATCGAACCGCTCCAAACTCCTGGGTCAAGGTGATTCCTCCAATAAGGTGGGTAAGCCTTCCAGTTGCAGAAGAGAGGAAGGGATAGAGAAATCTATGGGATTGTTCTTTAAGAACACTTCGGGAAAGTTGATCATGTACTTTTAGTTGTATACTGTTGAGTAGCTCTTACTTATATGGCCCAGCCTTGCTGTAAAGAGAGGCTGAGAAATGTAGTCTTTTTTTTTCCTGTTTGGCTATGTAGTTTTTATTAGGTTGTACTCTTTATATATTATTTAAGAAAGCCCTACTCCAGGGTCATGAAGATATATTTGCTTTTGCATTTAGGTATTTAATTTATGTGGATTTGATTTTTTATGTAAGGCAAGATAGGCCTTACATAATTGATCCTAGTACCATTTATTTCCCCAGTATTTATACGTGCCACATTAGTCATATTAATCTGTTATTCTCTTTTGACTTTTTTCTTTATCCCTACATCATTATTAAACTGTCTTAACTACAATATTTTTGTGAGAAGGTTAATATCTATATTTGAATCTTGATGTCTGGTTTTGTTTCTCTGGGAAATTATCTTAATTCTCAGTTCTTTGTTATTTTGAGCTCTTGAATACTGTTGAAATTTTGATGAGGATTGCCTTCAATTTATAGATTAATTTGGAGAAAATTGCCATTTGTGCAATTTCAAATACTCCTGTTCATTAATGTGGTAGATTTATTTTGCCTAATAATGTGCTGGTTTATCATTTTTATCAATTGGCTCTATCAGAAACTAGTATTATACCATTTATTTTAATTAGAGGATTTATTGTTTGAAATTGTTAACCAAATAATGGGGAACTGAGAAAGCAGAAAGAGGACATTGTGGTATCACAAGAAGTACTAACTACAGTAAACAACTACCACCCCTAGGACTTTGAGAACAATGTGAAGGGATTGGGATATTAAAATTTAGTAGCTAGGGATCTGTTTCCAGGTCCCTAGGAGTTCTTAGAAGGGCACTTTTAGGGCTGGGTCTCTGACTCCTGAGGAGGGGTTGTCCTAGTGCTCTGTATCACCAAGGGCTGCAGTGAAGCTGCTTTGGAGATTGCGTGCATGTGCCAGGGAACCTGGAACCAACTGTCCTTCCCAGGGTGAGACACTGTCAGAAACTAGAGGTAAATTGGACAGAAGTCCCTTCTCCTTCTTCCATCTAGCCTTGCGTGGTCTTAGTAAACCTCCTGTTGGCACAGCCTATAAGACATCCAGCTGGCAAATGAGAGCTGTATTTGCAGAGTTCCAGTTCCAGTATTAAGAAAGTAGAGTACAGGTAATAGATTTGAACCGAGAAAAGATAGCTTAATAGTCAGCATCGTCAGTCATTCACCATCCCTTTACTCTTAACCTTGGTATCATACGTTCAGCTGTACATTATACATATAGCAGTATTGTGATTGTTACTTTTATCCAGTCTTGAAGGCTTTTAACTGTTAAATTTGAAATAATTGTATTTATTATGTCAAATTTGGAGTTGGAGCTTCCATCTTTGTTTGGCTACCTATATTATTATACTTTAGATTTGCTTTTATTTTCTGTCTTTATTTTGGATTAAATTATTTCATGTTTCTTTTCCCCTCTACTAGTTTGACATTTATACTTTTCACTTTCATTAATGAAAATGGGGGTTGCTCTAAAATTTTATATGTATTCTTATCAAAGTTTAAAGATGTTTTTTTAATTTATTGATTTTAGAGAGAGGACAGAAGAGAGAGAGAAACATCAGTTTGTTTTTCCACTTATTTATACATTCATTGGTTGCTTCTTGTATGTGCCCTGACCAGAGATCTAACCCACAACCTTATTAGCACATCAGGACAGTGCTCTCCAGCTGAACTTCCTGGCTAGGGCCTCAAAGTTTAAAATTAGTCAGGCTCTCTGTTCTCTTTCTGAAGAACATAAGGATCTTAGATTGCTTTAACTTAGCTCACCTCCCTCTTGTTTTATGTGTAATTCTTATCTAGTTGGTCCCAGTTTGTATTTGAAACTTCCAAATAAAGTAATGAATAAATACATATATTTATTGAATGCTTCCTTTGTAAAAGGAATTGTTCTAGACTTTGTGAAAAAAGTAGTGAACAAAACAGAGTCTTGCCTTGACTGGTGTGGTTCAATGGGTTGAGTGCCAGCCTGTGAACCCAGAGGTCGCCAGTTTGATTCCAGTCAGGTCACATGCCTGGGCTGTGGGCCAGGCCCCTGGTTGGGGCGTGCAAGAAGCAGCTGGTCATTGTTTCTTTCTTACAATTGATGTTTCTGCCCCCCTCTCTCTGCCTCCCCCTTCTCTCTAAAAATAAATAAGGTCTTAAAAAAACAGTTTTATCTCTTTCTTTAAGTTGTTAACCTAAAAATAAAAAGCTAAAGTGAGAGGCAACAAGCATTTATTTGGGAGCAAAAAGAATTGCTATCTAGGGGCATAGATTTAGGCAGAAACCTAAGTTATATTCCAATTAGGAGGGAAGGCAAGGGGTTTTTATGAGAAAGGAAAGAATAATTACGTGATTAGAAGGAAGGAGCTTCTATCGGTGCTAGTAAACTGAGTTATTCTCTAGCTGTACACATTGTAGTGCTAGTTCTAAAGAATGTTGTTAATTTTCAGTCTGTGTAGTCAGGATTTCTGCTTTTCTGTTAGCTTAAAAACAGCTGTTTGGAATATAATTTTGGTTTTTCCCAGTTCATAAGTTATTTTTGTTCAGTTTAAATGTGAGTAAGGCATGGCAGGTAGTGTCTCTAGGATGGTGGCTCTGTCCATTTTGAAATGGCTGTTTATAACATTTCTCACACAGTAAACAAAGATTCCAAGTTATTTGCGTGTGTATATACACACACACACACACACATATAGTACATCAGTTGGTGATAAGTGCTGTGGAGAACAATAAAGAGTAAGTAGCGCTGGGGATTGCCGTTTTACAGGGGATGTCATTGAAGGACCTGCTATGGTGACATTTCTGAGAGGAGACCCCAGGAAACCATGTGCATATAAGGTTCTCTCCTAGTAGATATTATAGCTGGGTATGCAATTAGAGGTTTATCATTATTTTCTCTTAAACTTTTAAAGATATATTTCCACTGTCTTTCAGTTTCTGTTAAGCTGTTGAAAAGTATCTAATTTTTTAAAGACAATGTCTTTTTCCCACTGTTTTAATGTGTATATATATATTTGCTCTGGTGTAGTGTGATTCCATTGCTGTGTGTCTATTATTTTTTAAAAGATTCATAGTGCTTTGATAGGCTGAGGATTCATGTTTTCATCAACCTTAGAAGATCCTCAGTCATTACTCCTTTAAATAATGCCCTTCTCCCGTTCTCTCCTTACTCTCCATCTGGAACTTACCTTCCGTCTCTCTAGTTAGGGAAGGTATGAATTTTACAAATAAAGAATTATACAGTGATCAGACAGTAACTGTTAATTAGGGAAGTAATGCAGCGTCAAGGATATTTGTGATGAGGGATTATTTTACTATTTTATATTGTCAGAAAGATCTTCAGTGTAAAGATTGGCACAGGAGTTTGGCAATTCTGGAACAGCAAGTAGACTCATTTGGTAATAAAAAATTGAGTCAAAGGAATATTGGTGGGAGATAATATCAGAGATGCTGTGGGGAATCTGAGTGTAGCTGGAAGTCATTGTAAGGACTTGCACAGAGTAGTAGTAACCTAATCTGAGTTAAGAGTTAAAAGGCTCGCTCAGCTCTAGGATGCTGTATAAATAGAGTGTAAGCAGAAGGGAAAGGATGAAATCAGGGAAACTGTCTAGAAGGTTGTTAAGGTGATAGAGGCCCTCCCTCCCTCTTTCCCTTGCTCTCTGTAGTTGTGAATGTCTGCTGCTGTGGGCCGTGTATTGGGAATAGATGGAGTAATACAAAGCACTTGACTTTTGAGGATGTGGTGTCATGACAGTTATATTATTAAAATTACATTGTGTTATGAACATGCTATGCTGGAGAAATATATTCGTGTTATCAAATGATGTGTTCTGTCCATGAATGTTGGAAGAACTTCAAGGTAATATATATTTCCTTGTAATTTTTATTAAAAAATAATGATAAATGTTATCTTTATATTGGTCAATTGTGTATATGCCGTGAATTCTTTGGTCATGTTCTTTGCCACTTGTACTTTTCTTTCTGTGTATGAGAATTTTTCTCAGCATTGTCTATTTCATATCTAAATACAAACTCTATATAGTAAGGTTATTGACACTGCTATATTTATACCAGATTTCCCGTTTGCTTTTGAATTTTATTCAAAATTTTTTTCTCACAGGTAATTTGCATTTGGGAAAATTCAAGTCTTTCTATCATCATTTGTTATCACTGCTGTTGACTTTATGCTTACAAAAAACCTTCTTTCTCAAGGAAGTTAACATATTGTCACATCATCCAAATTAATTTCTTTAAAAAAAAAGATTTTGTTTATTTATTTTTACTGAGAGGGAAAGGGAGAGAGAAAGAGTGGGAGAGAAACATCAATGTGTGGTTGCCCCTTGTGTGCACTTTACCAGGGACCTGGCCATGTGCCCAGACTGGGAATCAAACCAGTGACCCTTTGCTTCACAGTCTGGCACTCAGTCCACTGAGCCACACCAGCCAGGGCTCTTTTTTATGTGAAGATTTTATTTATTTATTTTTCAGAGAGAATGAAAGAGAGAGAGATAGAGAGGGAGGGAAACATCAATGCGCAACAGATATATATATTCAATCAGTTGCCTTTCGCACGCCCCCCAACTGAGGGCCTGGCCTGCAACCCAGGCATGTGCCCTGAGCAGGAATTGAACCACTGACCTTTAGGTTTGCAGGTTGGTGCTCAATCCACTGAGCCAGACCAGCCAGGACCAAATTAATTTCTTACCTAGGAAATATTTTCTCAACATTATTAATTGAACAGTGCATCATCCTACCATTATTTTTGTCATGCCTCTTTTAACATTTATTGTTATTATATATTAGGAAAAATATTTATAGTCCATGAGGAGAGATAGAAGTGAAAGTGGATGTTATGCTGCAGTGATTAGAACAAGGAGAGGACTAGTAGAGAGTGCTAATTCTAGAATTCCGGAAGTAGACACTTTCGTGAAGAGAGAAAGTAGTCAACAGCATCAAAGATCTTTTTTTTTAAACTGACTTTTTTTCACTTTTTCTATTGTTCAGGTACAGTTGTATCAAATACCTCGATAGTTTTACAATAATATGTAAGGGACATGAAAGTGGCCCATCATTTTTTGGCAGTTAGGAAGCAGCAGGGGCAGCAAGGGAGGAGTGTGATGCGTTAACAAATGGGAGGGGAGATTTTGGTCAGTTGCATGAGAAATGAAGATGTAAAGAGGGATGTTTGCAGGAAACATATGAAGTATTGAAAACATTCCGAAAACTAAAGTTTTAAATATATGCGAATATTTTCAATATGTTTTCACAGAATTCAGAAGTGTCTGTGTTTGAAGTCAACATTCGATTTATCGGAGGCCTACTCGCAGCGTACTACCTTTCAGGAGAGGAGGTGAGCAAAATCACGCAACATGTTGTTTGTTTGGGGGAAGGGGTTGTGAGTGGAATTTAATAAAATGAAAGATTAGCTTTCTTAATTGTGGAATATTGAACTAATGCTAAGGTTTGCTGAAAGAAACTGGAGGCCATCGGTGGGACTGTTCCTTGGGAATAGTGAGCTTCTCATTTTGAGAATCTCAGTAATACATAAATCCACCACAGGTCTTAGTTTCCCATACACCGTGTCTCCTCTGCAGGCGCGATCCTTTTCCAGGATGTTGCCACTGCAATTAATTACATGGTTGGAACAAAGGGGGGAAATGAATAAGATTATAATTAAGGAATGAATCAGGAAGATTGAATACGGATCCTCCTAAGACCAAAAATTAATTATTAAAACTGTCTGGAAATTGAATATGGTTGTGTTTTTTATTGTTGTTGTTTTTGATGTATATTAAAAAAACAAAATACAGCTCTGAATTCTTCTTTCTGGAAGTTTTGGTGTAATACACACAGACAAGATATTTCTATTTCATTTTCTGAGAAACTGCTTTGCTCATGTATTTAATTGGTTTGTTGGTGTAAGTAATTATAAGAGCTCCTCCTAAATTGAAGGAAATTCCTCTTTTGTTATATGTGGTATAAAGATGGATTATCTTTAGTCTTTATTTTTTGCGGTTAACCTCAAGTTGTCTCTTTTAGGACTTTTTAAAAACATTTATGGCCTCTAGATTTTGTTTATTAGAAAGCCTTTCTCATGTCTGTTATTACAAAATAAAAATTCTCCTTTTCCTTCTGGATTTTTGTGATTTTATGTGCTTGTATTTAAATATTTTATCTATGTTGTGTTCTTGTGTAAAGAGAGAGAATCCAGCACTACAGTTTTTTTTGGAAGTAATATATTTGAAGATGCTGGTATTTAATATAAATATTATCTATCACATCTATTTCATTTGTAATTTTACTGTCAGACTTTACTATGTAACTTCATAATCCCTCCAACCTATCTTTCTGTAGCCAGAACACTTGAGTTCACATTTAATAAAATTCAAAAAGCGAGCTGTACTTTGGCCAACAGGTTTTTAATCTTCAGTGTGTCAGAATCACATAGGGTATTTTAAAAAACTGAATTCTAAGCCCTGCTCTCAGGACTGTGATTCAGGTCACTTAATGTGGAGACCATCATTTATGTCTTTTATCAAGGCTTCTTGTTAAGGGTGATTTTGGAAATGGTGCTTCTGTACTTTGGGAAACTTTGACCTTAGCTTATTCAAATAAGATCATTGTAAATTAAGTGATAGTATTTTTAAGATCAGGTTTATTGAGATATTACTTGTTACATAGAGTAAAATGCACCCATTTTAGTATGTTTTGATAGTGAATACAGTCTAATAACCTCCAGCACAATTAAGATGCAGGAGAATTCTTCCCAGAAAATTCCCTTTTCCTGTTCATAGTCACACCACCCCCTGCCGCCTGCGTACAAGTCACTTAGCTTCCTCAGTTATCATGATATCACATTGTTTGTGTCCAGGTAACCCTTGTTTCAATAATGGCCCTGAAGCACAAGAGCAGGGATGCTGGCAATTGTGATTTGCTGAAGAGAGTCTGTAAAGTGCTGCCTTTAAGTGGTTGTGAATTCTCTCAGTTTCTGTTAATCCCAAAGTCTATAAATTCTTTCCTTCGGAAAGATACTTCCTCTGTACTTAATATGATATCCCCTCACCTCCACCCCCTTCCCTGCTTTGGCTCCCTTTAAGATTATCTGTTCATATTTTGTTTTGTATGAAGAGTTTGAGTGGTTTTACTTTTCTTATTTTTAAAGGGACAGGTAGGATTTATTTATCTTAGTTGAGGTTCTCTGAACTTCTTAGATGTATGGTTTGATGTTTTTTTGGAAAAATTCTCAGTCATTATTTTTAAAAATATTTTCCTCTGCCTCCTTTCAATCCTGGTATTTCACTTACACAAAATTATTTTGTTTGAAATTGTCTCATAGTGTTGGTCCAAAGGTTGTGGGTTATTGTTAAGTTGAAATTGTCTCATAGCTCTTGAATTTGCCGTTCTTTTTAATCCCACATACTGCTTTCTTATTCCGTGTGTTTCAGTTTGACTAATTTTTCTAGCCCTTCCTCTAAGTTCACCGACCATTATTCTCAGCTCTGCTCAATCTACTTTTGAGCCTGTTGAAGGCATTTGGCATCTATGTTACTTTGATTTTTAAAAAATTAGTTGTAATATTTCATTTGACTTTTACAGTTTCAGTTTCTCTATTATAATTTCTAATTGTCTTCATTTATGTTTTCCACCTTATCCACTGTCTTTTAACATACATCATAGTCATTTTAAATTCTCTTTCAACCTCAGAGGTAGGTTGCTTGCTTTGTTTCTATAAAGTGGATTTTTTTTCTTGCTTTCTTAGGTGTTTCATAGTTTTTTATTGAATGCCATATACTGTGTGTTGGGGCAGTAAATAAAGACTGCGGCTAATGATGTTTATGCCTGGATCAACATGCCTGTGCTGTCTGGAGTTGAACCAGGCGTGGGTTTCTTATTGCTAAGATTACCTGCAGTATACCACTAGGTTTAAAGTCCTCCATCAGTGCCTTGTAATTAGAGTGGGTCTGTTTTGCAGACAGGTTTTTCTAAATGTTCTTGCTCCACCACAGGTATGCCTGTGCCTCAGAGGGGGGTCTCTTTCACTGCGTACCTTGCCTCTCCCCCAGCTGTCACTCCATGGGGACTGTCCTCTGTGTCTCTACTCTTTTCTGTCTTACCTATATCTATGTCTGTATCTCTATCTGTATCTGTATCTCTATCTCTATTTCTATCTCTATCTCTATCTACATCAATATATTTGTATCTGTCTGTCTAGCCAAGAGTTCACACCAAACACAATAAAGTTCATTCTCATTTTCTGCCTTTTTATATTTCTGCTTTTCTAATATTAAGAAACCTGCCTTCTCACATCCCTTGTTTATTTATGTGTCGGGTTAGTCTTGCTGTATGAAACCACTTTTCCGACCTTGCCAGGCTGCTGCTTTGGTAGTGCACCTTCTTCACGCAGTGCACTACGTGAAGGGGCTTGACTCCCTTTGGCCCCAGTGCCTCCCCAGGATGTTGCTGCCCACTCCAGTCGTACCTTCTGGGCTCACACCCTTGACCCCCCCCAGTGCCTCCCCAGGATGTTGCTGCCCACTCCAGTTGTACCTTCTGGGCTCACACCCTTGACCCCCCCCCAGTGCCTCCCCAGGATGTTGCTGCCCACTCCAGTCGTACCTTCTGGGCTCAGACCCTTGACCTCAGCAGATTCTGGAGTGACTATTAAGCAGTGAAGGGAGGAAGAAAATGGAATTATTTTGATGCCTTCAATTTTAGATTTTTGCAGATGTCCTTGGGAAAGGAGAGCATTTTTCTTTTTACTTTCATGCTTATCTAATTATGAAGAAGCACTAAATATTCTGTATGTAATTGGCTACCTGATTAATTTTTCTACCAAAAGGCATATGATTCCAAATTAATCATGAGCAGCAGCTCATGAAAGAGAAGTGTCAGCTGTGGCTCTCTCACACGGGGCTCCCTACCTGAAGGTTGGAGCAAAACGTGGAAGTTTTGGTTGCTTTTGTCATAGGAAAACACAAAGTGCTGAAAAATGCATGATGTTACCAGTATGCTATTTTTGCCATTTTTATGCTTCTGACTTTAAGAAGAAACATTTTGAGGAAAGTATTGATATGCATGCTTTGGAGTTAGATGTTTGAGTTCCTTTGCCTCTCTTTCATACTGGTATTTGGTAAGGCGTTTGCCTTCTACAACGTGAATTCGTCTATGAAAATGTGCAAGCATTCACTTGAGAGTTGGGAGGTTAAGTCATGTGTTGGTGCCTTACATAACACCCGACTCAGTGTTACTTTATTGTTCTTCCTCCTCCCACTTTTTCCTATGTGGTGACTATTCTTTGTTTCTAATGGGGGGGATCCTTTAATTTATTTAAAATAGATACATTAATTTGTTAGGATAGCATCTACTCAAAAATAAAGAGAACATGTTTTACTTTTGTGACTTTCTTATACAATAGAATATTACTGACTATTTTACTTTTCTCCTTGATCATTTTACATTGAAAGCTCAAATCTATATGTTCTAGGAAACCAACAATGAGTCCCTGAGATCTGCTAAAAAGAATTAAAACATAGAAAAATACATTGAATATGACATTATTGTAATACTGACAGATAATAAATTCCTATGTCTCACATAAGCCAGAAAATTACCTATAATTTATAACATGGCAAAGAGCCTCTGTTACAGAATATTATACATGTGTTCTGTGTTCTGGTGTAGGGAACCTAATGAGGGTTATATGTCATCCTAATGAAGTGTTCCTCCTCTTCTGTTGCTTTATTAATATCATAAATGTGAAACTTTATCATTGTATTTTCTTAGAACAAGGCTATTTATATTAAATATTCACAACTTTAAAAATCTTGATGATTTATTATGTTTACTTGCTGCTAGCCTCAGACATACGGCACATCTTTTACAGGATTGGCTCATCTCATTTTTTAATGGTTATCAAAGTGGCATCCCTTCCTGAGTAAGATAATAATAGTTTATGTGGATAACTTCATCTGAAATTTGTCAGAAAGAGTAGAGAAATGGTTACATGGAGTTTAATACATATTTCACAGATAATAAAAACAAAATAAAAGAAACAATACCATCAAAATCTTTCTGTACCAAACATAAATGGTACTGTATTGCCTACAGGATAAGATCATTTCTGAATAAGTTCATGGATATTTTTTAAGACAAATAGACTATCCCTTTTCACCTAAAGTCCTTTAAGAAAAGTTCTGAAGTTAAAGAAAGGAATGTAAAATATTAATTTTTTTGGTTTAAATGTTAGCCATTATTATCCTACAGCACTAATTCTTACTTTTGGAAAAAAACTGATTTTGCTCCAAAAATTACTATTTTTTTTCTTTTTAAAAGATTTTTATTTATGTATGT